AATAGTAAAATTCTTTGCAAGAAATCAATTACATTCAAAACAATTTCAAGAAAGAATTCAATTCTTTTCTGAATTCGTTATAAAATTTTTAAAAAGAATTCAATAATTTTCAAAAATTTTAATCAAATTGAATAATTAAATGTTCAATTGCAATTATCAATAACACGATTATTTTAAAAACTTGAAGAAAATTGTTCATAAAATTCAATTATTTTCAAAATTTTTAATTAAAATTATTAAAGAAACTCCATTATTTTAAAAGAATAGAAAGAAACTCTTCAGAAAAATTTAATTACGATTTTCAATAAAATTCTTCGCAGGAATTCAATTATTTTAATAATTAATAAAATTCTTCGAAGGAATTAGATTATTCTCAAATTTTTTGATAAAATTCTTTGCAAAAATCCAATGATTTTCATGACATTAATTTTAAAATTGAAAATATTAAAAAAGAAAATATATTAAAAAGTTAGAAAACAAAAAAAATAATTGAATTTTAGAAAAATTTAGAATTGATGTTAGATAGGAATTTTTTTGATGCTTCATTTTTTCTACTGGAGTTAATTTTTTTTCCAAATGAACTTTTTTGCTTAGACAGGGTTGCCACAAAAACTTAACTTTGTTTTTCCCTGACTTTTCCCCTGATTTCCAAATATAATTTTAATTTTTTCCCTGACCAATTACTGTTAATAATTTTTGTAAAAGTTCTTTGAAAACTGATTTATAGAAAAATTTAAGTTAAATAAATGACATATATTTCAATGATATATAAACAATTTTTGCCTAAAATTTGTCATATAAATCAAATGTAAAATTCAATTACATATAATAATATAAAGTTGAAAAATATTATTTCACGAATTTAAATTCTTTCTAATTAAAAATCACTTAAATTTAGTATAATTCATGTAGAAATTGTATAGAATCAGTCTAGTAAAATTCTGTAGAATATTCTTTAGAATTCATATATATATTATATAGAATAAAAAAAAAAAAAAAGTTTATTAAAAGTTTAAGTTTATGTTTTTTATTTAAAGCCTAAAAGTTTATTAATGTTCATAAACAATTTTGCGAAGAAACAAAAAAAATAACCTGCTAATCATACACATTTCCTAATGGATATTATAAAAACGCACTGCAAAAACGTGTAATTTAAATGATATTAATTTTCGTGTATTATAAGCCCTTAAAAGTTTTTCAAAACTCAACGATTTTTTCGGGCGATAAATTTGTGAATGCCACCTATTAAATTTTAAGGGTTCGCTCCACTCTATTTCCACGAAGCGAGATTTTTCGGAATCGTGTTATGGTTCTCGATGGAAAGGAAACGTAGTATTTTGACGTGCCTGATGCGTTACGGTGTGCGGGAATTACACTCTCTCTCTCTTTTTCTCTTGAAAAAAAATTGGTACCTCCAACCTCAGTTGCTTCTCTAAATGGCAATTTTGTTTACAAGGTATTTCTAAAAAATTCCCATGAAATGAAAACTTTTTAGTGGAAATTAATAAAAATTTCTGAATTCTATTTTTAATTCTAATTAGAAGTTTTTTTTAGAAATTTTTTTCCCTAATTGAATTTATTGGGCAATTGATGCACTCGAAGGAGAGAGAGAAAGAGAGAGTTTGTTGCTAAAAATCGAGGCAGGCCCAGTTTGTTGGTCGTAGACATCGGTTAGTAAAACCCGAATGTACTTTAAATGCCCAATTTGGCAGCCGTAAAAACAACATTTATTTATGGTGGTTCGCCCATCGACGAAAAAACCCCTATGGACGAGAAAATTATGCTCGCTCAAAAAGGCATATTACTGCTGACTTTGGCCTTTTTTTTAACATAGTATGTCTGACGCTTGAAACACAGAGAGGGGCCTTTCGCTCTCTTCCTTCTTTACATCAGCCCAGGTGGTAGCGAATTTTACGAGTTGCTCTCCTGTACAACGATTTGAATTTACTGAGGAGACCGATTAGGTACCTGTATATATATCCCAGAAGAGAGGCTTCGTTTTCACTCTTAAGCATAGGTTATAATTCAAAAGGTTATAAGCCAGTGCCTTAGCGCCGATAATAGGTTATGCCTTATATACCTTTATAATTCCGCTCCACATCATTTTTACGTTTTCAGAATCTAAAAGTTACGACCCGATTGTTCTCTTGACCCCTCGAGTTCTAAGCAACGAAGTTCATTTGGAAAAAAATTAACTCCAGAAGGAAAAATTTTTAGTTCGAATTCTTCGAAAATATTCGATTATATTTAAAAATAATTTTTAAAAGCAAAGAAATAAAGTTCTTTAAAATATAAAAATTCGCAATAATTTAATTATTCAATTATTTAAATACAAAAATAAATAATTTATTAAACAATTGAATGTTTCTTAAAATTTAAATTCTCATAAAGAATTTTATTAACATATATATTTTTAAATAATTGAATTCTTTCGACGATTTTTAATAAAATTTTTAAGAATAATTACAATTTTCCGAGAAATTCGATTAAATTTGTATTAAAAATAATTTAAATTTTGACTAGAATTTAAAAAAATTTTTGAACATAATTGAATTTCTGCAATCATTTGTAATTTCTTTAAAATTTTCAGCTGGGAGGCCTCCGACTCATGCGACAACTATTTAGATACCATTTTTACTTACTGCATTTTTTACTTCATTAATTTCGCTAAAAAAATTCACAACTATTTCTTAAATCAAGATTTTAATTATCAATTTATTTATTTAGTTTAGATTATAAAATGACAAAAATGAAAAATTTTAAAGTACATTTAACTGTACACGTGCATATTAATGAAAGATATAAAAGCGAAACTTAATTTTTGATAAATAGTTCCTTAATTAAGAATTCTGAAATGAATTAAATGGAAATTATTCGTCTAAAGTATCACACTCGACATTAATTAATTTTCTGAATATGAATACGCTGATTACTTTTTGATTTGTTGACGCTAAAGAGTTTTTAAACTCGGTCTCTTATTAGTTTAGGAAAGTCATTAGTTTTGAATTTCTGCTTCCAGTTTAAACTTATTATATAGTTTCAAAAAAAAAAATAAAAACAAAAAAGTGAAAAACAAGAACGGTTGTCATATAAATTGTTCTTGTAAATAGGACAACTTTCAGGATTAAATAGTATATAATATAATAAAACTTTTAGCCTCGACTATATTTAACCAATTAGTCGTTTTTATTTTTCGCGCTTATTAACGAGTTCATCAAAAATTATTGCTACCATTACTTTCAAAAAATGGTTTCTTTTCAACTTTCCCATTTTTTCTGTTTCTATTTCTTCTTTTTCTATCACTTTTTTCTATTTCTCTTTAACTATTTTTTTCTATATTTATGTTTATATTTTCTTTCTCTTTTTCTTTATTTATCTTTCTTTTCCTATTTTCTTTTTTTTATTTATTTTTTCCATTTTTTCTTTTTATTCTTTTACTCCTTTTATATTATTATAGCCTTGACGCGATAAAAAAATAAAAAATTCACAACGTTTGTTATTAATTTTTAGACTGTGAGAGAAAAACAGCAAATGTTACGAAAAAAAAATTGAAATGAACTAAATTTTTGGTGCGTTCTGGTTTTAAGAAATGTTGAAGTTTAATGGCATGTTTCATCGTGCGCGCGGACTGAAGCCAAAAAGTCCATTCCCACGGCGAGTTCAGAGTCCCGACCGCCAACATTTCGGACCCCCAATTAATTACCCTGCACCTAATTGCCGCAATAATTATCGTCGCAAAACGCGAGCATTAAAATCTTTAATATTAAAATGAAATATATTTTTTTACTTCACGGTATCTACATTGACGTCGAATGAAATTGAGTTTTTATTAATTGCATTGTGCGCGCACGATGGATTTTTATTTCACTTTTTTTTATTCTTATCAAATCCGAAGGTAAATTTATGTTTCACATTTTTATGTACGAAGATTTTTTTATTTTAATAATTTTATAAATTTTGATTTTGTAATCAAGAAATTAATGTAATGTATTTTCTATTACACAAAGAAGAAAAGTCTTCCGCTCGACTTTTTGCACTTGACTCATAATTATTTCATTGTTTACATAAATAACAAAACTGAGATAAATTTCTATCAAGGAGTCGCCAAGCAAGACGCAAATTAACAAATCTCACACCACGTGGAGATAATCTTCTATCTACTTCCTATCGTACGCTTTTATAAAGGTCACGAAAGAACAAAGAGGTCAAGCTCTTTTCTCTCAAGTCCCTCAATCCATTCACCGCGAGAGAGAAAGAAATTACAGCACATATTCTATATATATATGACTAGCCATTTTTTTCAGCGCACATACGGTCTTCAAAGTAAGGAGGCGGCTCGTAAATCACGCGGAAGCCGATAATAAAGTGTACCACAAGGAAATTAAAACAATGTAAAGTAATTAACATACGTTGTGGTAAAAGCCGCAAGAAGGTCGATCAGTGTATTTACCACTTATACACATATAACTATATACAAAATACAACCCCACAAATACAATATATATATGTGAAAGTGCACACACATATTCGAAACCAAGAAAGATGCAACGGACCATTGGATGTCTCAAGTGGTTGTAAATCACGTTACATTATTGTAAACTTAACTGCGGGAAAGCCAAAGTGAGTTTAACCATCGCGTCGGGCATTATGTAAATTTTCAAGTACTTTATTAGTCACGTAAATCATTCGTGACTTCTTCAGAATGCCGTCACCAAATTCTCTTTCTTTTTTCCCCTTTAACAACAACAAAAAAAATCCTACCCATCGATTTACGCGTTTTTAGCATAATTTTAACGATCATATCGCTGACAATTTGTCCGGCTACTGTGTAAATGGTTTTTTTTCAAGTAAAAGAATTTTTGTCTGTCAATTGACGTCTTCTTTATACTGAAAAATTTTTCGTCATTTTTGTTTTTAATATTTGCTAAATTCTCTGTAGAATGAATGATATTTTGTATAGCTTAAAAATGTAAAAATGTTAGTAGCATTGAAAACTGAATTTAGTTAAACAAGTCTGTGCAAGTTGAGCCAAAATAATTTCAGGTAAAGGAAACTTTATGATAGCAAAGAGGTAGTACGTACATGCCTCTTTTTGGGTTGATTTTGCCAAGCGTCGTTTTACCTGATTGCAACTGTAGTACTCCGCTAACCAGCAATGAGCAATGTTCGATGCTCATAATTTGTAATAATTTGTCCTAGCTGCGCAGGGATATGCTCATTAATACGAATATATTAATTTAGTCATTCGTAAACAATCAATCAATTCAGTCAATAACTTTTGGAAAGAATTTTTGTGATAGTGATCGTGTTAAGAACAAATGGCAAAAATACGCTTTGCGAAAGTAACCTATTCTCAGCAAAAGAAATTGCTGAAATTTGTAGAGGATTATCCTCGAATGATGTCGAAAAAATTTAATGATAATTTTACATTAACAAACTACGAAACAGTGTGGAATGATTTAACTGAAATATTAAATGCCGAAAATAATTCTAACGTTCGCACTTCGGAAAAGTGGCAAAAGGTAAAGTTTTTATAAAGATTGTTATTTAATTTGTTAATTTTCGTTTTTCACTTTTGAATTACAATCATACACATTCGTTGCATACATATACACACACAAATCCACTTACTGACTCATTCACACTCACACAAATATTTACATGCATACACGTAAACTTTTTTTATTTGTTATTTTTGTTTTTACATTTATAATATAACAAATTTTTGTGTTTCATATTTTTTATTAGACTTTATCTTCGTGGTTATCGAAGGCACGGAAGAAGTCTGAAGTTACTTTAACCAATCTAGAAAAAAGACTTCTCTCAATTAATGGTGGTGATGAAGCGAATGATGCTCAGGCAGTTGCTGTCACTGCACCTCGAAGGCAAATTAAAGAGCCTATGCCATCATCTAATGTAAAGGTATTAAACAATTTTTAAATTTTTTAAATTTATTTCTTTTTTAAATTCTACTTTACTTGCTTTATAAAGAAAATTTAAACGAATTATCTCTATTTCTAAAAGGTGATACTTAGTTTCATATTATAGATTGCAATTTATTGTATGATATTAGAGAATAATATTCCCCTTAAACGAAAGCAAATGTTATTAATGTAAAATAACATTTTAAAAATTTTATCTTTTCTTAGAACACATCTAATAAAGAAAAACTTGCTGGGCCTTCAAAAAGGAAGCATACAGTGCCCGATCAGAAAGAAACCATCAATAAAAAAATCAGAAGCAGAATAAAATTCCTCAAAGCCAACAGTATGTATATTTTAATTATGATTTGAAATTAGAACCCACATTTATTGATGAAACTTACTTTCTAGATTTATATTTTCTTAAGGATCTTTAATTAGACCTTCTTTACAAATTTTTGTTTTTAAAATACCAATAATTCCGTAATTTCTAAACGACGGATTTCTTTTTGTAAGTTTTATTAAGTAGATATTGAAATGTGAAAAAAAATGTATTAAAAATTTTATAACAAAATGTCAGCGGTAAATTTTATATTCAAAGTAGACTGCTTTTTTACAATCTGAAATTTTTTTTGAATAGTTTAAGTTTTGTCAAAAGAGAAGAAATTTTATAAACTATAAAAGTACCCCCGCCGATGGTTGTCCACTACCGAACATCATCGATGTCTTTGATGTGCTGGGAGAAGCTTGTCCACTGCCAAATGTCATTGATTTCTTTGATGTGCTGGGAGAAGTGGATCCACTGCCGAACATCATTGATTTCTTTGATGGGCTGGGAAAAGTGGGTCTACTGCCAGACTCGACTGGCATCTTGGATATGTTCGGTAAACCTTGCCGTGGTGGCGGGGCTTTTTACTAAAGAACAACTAAACAGAAAGAATCGAACATGATGAGCGGCCGTCAAAAACAGGAATACATGCAGGGTAATACTTCGGTTAAATCCTTCACTGGTTCCGATTGTCAAGCTCCTAGCGTGGGGACAATGGCCGGTGGATATGTACCTAGGATGTACTATCGGCAAGGCAGAAGGTAACCGTGAAGACTGAAAGGAGAGGCGAGAGCGCCGCTACAAACGACAGTTAAGGCGTGCAATCATAGACGTGCCGAAGAGAAAACGTAGTTCCGGCAGTCCAGAGGGGACTCAAGACGCAACAACGAAAAAGAAAAAGGAGGAAGCACCTCCAAAAAATATGGACAACAGTGCAGAGGATAAACTGAAGCCAGAATGTCAAAAACTGGAGCAAAAGGCATCGAGGAGATCGATAATGGTCATCCGAGTGGTTCAAGGTCGGACGTTTGCCGACGTTTTGGGTAAGCTTCGTAAGAAGGTTGATCCGGACGTTAGCCACACAAAGGTCGTAGTTGCAAAGGCTACAAAAAGTGAAGACCTGCTAATTAAAATCAGAGGCGACTCCAATAAAGAGGCCTTCACAGCGGCAGTTTCCAAAGCGGTGGAAGGCATTGGTAAGGTACAGTCTGTGGATCGAAGGGTAACGCTGGAGATTCTCGACTTGGATTGCCTTACCCAAGTAGAAGAAGTCCAACAAATGTTGGAAAATGTCCTGAAAAAGCCAGGAAGCAGGAAGGTGAAAGTCCTTGAACCAAAACGGCGAGGGATGAAGCTCGCGGTTGTAGTCACCGACCCAAAAGAAGCGAAAAGGCTGCAAAAAGTTGGACGCATAAAGATTGGCTTTATGTCGTGCCCAATTAGGAAGAGAGTAATGGTCACTAGGTGTCATAGATGCCTAGATTATGGACACATAGGAAAAGAATGTACTATTCAAGAGTTATATGTTTCAAGTGCTATGTTTTCAGTATTATATATTTCATTTGTTCTTTTGTAGCAGTGCGAATTATTATTATTATTTTATAATTAAAATAAAATGCGCAGTGCCCATTATCATTATTAGTTTGAAAATATTATTCATTTTTGTATTTGTATTATGAAATTTGTCTTGACATTTTTTTAAAACAATTTTTGGATGCGATTATCAAATTTAGGATTCTTTTTTATCAATTTGGAGCTTTTTTTTGTATTAAAGAAAAGCTTTTTCCGTCGACGCTAGGTTCAGGAATAATCTTAGACACCTTTCTTGGAAGCTTGTGATTAGTTGATAAATTATTTTCAATTTTTTTTAAATTTTTAATTATTCATTAATCCCAAGTAAATTTATTTAATTTATAATGTAAAAAAAAATTAGTGGGCGAAAAAAAACTCATACACTCAGGTGTAATTCAGTAGTAAAGTGATTCGTCCCCTGCAAGTGCCATGTGGCAGGTTATCGTTTCCTCTACAGGAAGTGGGTTGTAAAGGGACGCTAATGGGAGACTCGAAGTCCAACTCCAATGACGAAGGAATATAATTTTCTGAATGAATTTGTCAGGAAGCGTCTGATGTCAACGATACAAATCTTGAGAATAAAAAAAGTATACGATTCACTCACACTCTCGCATACATATTTTTTTCCGACTATATAGTATATTTGAAACAAAGAGAGTGTACACAAAAAAAAAAGATTTTAAAACAAGGCAGAGATGGATCGCACTTTATCTTTTAAACCTGTGGGTGTTTCTTTTAAATTTAACATCCATTTGATGACTAAGTTTTAAGATTTAAAATTCTCTCATCACAATCAGTTTTTTCTTGCCATGAATTAGATTAATGGTTTGGAAAATTTTTTTTTTGCTTCCTAAAAGTTTGAAATTTTTTTTTCGGTTTTTATTCGAAGGTAGAAATTCTTAACAAAATTTTAGATTATTAAGCGGATTTAGAAAAAAAATTCCTAGTTGATTTAACAATCATCTAGGAATTTTTTTTCTAAATTCGCTTTCAATTCACAGAATGATAATAAATTCAAAAAAAGAAAAAACAGCGAAAGGGGACATTTGGTGGCACGTCACGTATATATCTTCGAAAGACCAAATGGCCCCGTCTGTTTAATTTGGCTCCTCTTGTATGCAAAGTCACCACACTTATTTGCATATTTTTCGCAAAAGTTTCATTAACCTCTGACCGCAGTGACCAATTGTATATATATAGGTATATCAGGAAGTTGTCGAGCCGCGAAAAGTAAACTCACCTGCAAGGGGTTATTGAACGCAAATATATGCTCAAGATGCCGTAAATTTGGAATATCCGTGCTATAAATTTTAAAGTGCACGCTCGTATAATTTTACCCGAGAAAAAAGCGCGCACCAAGGCGATAGTAAGATAACAATGTGTCATTTCTTTTTTTCAATATATTTTAAAAAATACGTGCAGAGAAGGAAAAAAAACCAAAAATTCACAATAATTAACAGCCGATTTTAGGTGAGAAAGGCGAGATTAAATTCTTGTTTATTATTTTTTAGTTTTTATTTCATTATTCTTATCGTGAATATGTAAATTTGTTTTCGGAAACAGCACAAATTTAATGGCTTGTACGAATTACAATTATAAATGCAATTACAACGACAATAATAATAATTGTGATAATAAAAATAATAATTGTTATTAGCAATATTATTGAAAATAATAATAATAAAGTAAAATAATAATTTGTTTCGTGAATAATAGTTCTGGTAAAATTCAAATAATTTTAATCGAATTCCTCGAAAAATGTAATTATTCTTAGAAATTTTATTAAAATTCGTCAAAAGAATTCAATATAATAATTAATATAATAATTAGCTAACTAATTAATTAACTAACTAATTAATATATAGTTATAGCTAACTAGCTAATAATAATTATTACCAGCGTTAACAAACAATTCGCGCGCTAAAGAGCGCGGCGAATTTCTTACTTCCTTTTTAAAATAAAATTAGAAATTTTAAAAATAATGGACTTTAGAAATTTTTAATTCAAATTTTTGTTGAAAACACTAAAAAATTCTATTTTGGAGAAAATACAAATAATTGCAGAAATTTAATTGTTTTTAATAGTAATAAAATTCTTCTCATAAAATTCAGTTACGTTCAAAATCTTAAAAAAAATTCTCGTCAAAATACCATTAAATTATTTTCACAAATTTTTCTCATTTCAATGATTTTCAATATCTACTACTTTAATAAAATTTCCCAAAATGAATTCAATTATTTTTAAAAAATTTTAATAAAATACTACACAAACATTTAATTATTTTCATAGATAATAAAAATTTTACAGGAATTCTATTATTTACAAATTTGTTTTATAAATATTTTTTCAATAATTCAATTATTTTCATAAAAAATTAAATTTTTTTATGAATTTAATTATTTAAAAAAAATAATTAAAAATTCTAGAAAATAATAATTAAATTGAAATTATGAAAATAATTTTGAATATAATTTTAAATGTCTTAATTCCTGTGGAAAAATAATAATAATTAAATATTTATTAAAAAAAGAAGTTATTGATGTTTTCGAATAATTTTCAATTAAAGAAATTGGTAAATAAATCTAATATGTAGAACATTTTTTAACTAACATTTTTTCTTTTATTTAAAAAAAATTTTTAAAGTTTCAATATAATTTTCAATTAAAATTTATAATTGACAAATAGAATTTGTTGTTTTCTATTTCAAATTTTTTTAAATTATTTTTTTAATTTTTAATTAAGAAGAATTAATATGAATTTGTTGTTTTCTATTTAAAATTTTTTTAAATTATTTTTTTAATTTTTAATTAAGAAGAATTAATATGAATTTGTTGTTTTCTATTTAAAATTTTTTTAAATTATTTTTTTAATTTTTAAAAATTTTTTCAAAATACGAAAGCTTTTGAATAATAAAGCTTAACTGTTAATAGAAAGCCACGCTAGTCAAGAATTCGATGTAGAAAAAGTGAATTTACAATTTACAAAACACCTGGATTGTAAATCACGAAATTATTGAGTCGGAGATTTTAAATTACTTGGAGAGTCAAAGTGTGTGAAAGTCTAGCAATTTAAATGTTTTGCCATATTATAAAAGAGAATAATTGTGCAGAGGAATTTTGTTTTTTCAAAACATTTTTTTCTTTTTATATTTGCACTGATGTGAAAATAATACAGTATAACCTCTGGCGCTTGGGTTTAAAATTTTGCCTTTAACTTTTCCTGTTTTCTAAATTTGAATTTAAATAAAGAATTAATCGAATGCGATCGGAAATAAATTTAAGTTACTAATAATTATAAAAATTTATAATAATTAAATTTAAATCAAAAAAATTAATCGAATGCGATCGGAAGTTAATTTTAGTTTCTAATAATTACAAAATTTTTGATCAAATGCCATCGGAAGTAAATATCAGTTACTAATAATTACAAAAATTAATAATAACTAA